TTTTGGGCGGATGCCGTGAGTACCGCGTGCTACGTGTTAAACCGAGCCGTCATTAGACCGATACTCAAGAAAACGCCCTATGAACTTTACAAAGGAAGAAAGCCTAACCTTTCCTATTTTCATGTCTTTGGATGTAAAGTTTTTATTCATAATAATGGAAAAGATAACTTGGGAAAATTTGATGCTAAGTCGGATGAAGGAATTTTCTTGGGTTACTCTCTTCGTAGTAAGGCATATAGAGTGTTCAACAAGCGTACTAAGAGCGTAGAGGAGTCTATTCATGTTGTTTTCGATGAATTTGATGCTCGCTTGGCGAGAAAAGGTATTGTTGATAATGTTGCCGGTTCTTATGACGATGAAGAAGAAATCGTTAAGGAAAAGGAACCGGAAGAAGAGAAAACGCAGGAGCAAACGGAGCTTCCTAAGGAGTGGAGAACATTGAAGAATCACCCGATTGACAACGTCATTGGTGACATAATGCAGGGAGTTTCTACTCGTTATTCTCTTAGGAACACAATTAATCACATGGTCTTTGTTTCACAAATTGAACCAACAACCGTTTTGGATGCTATTAATGATGAACATTGGTCTATGGCAATGCAAGAGGAGCTTAACCAATTTAAACACAATGACGTTTGGGAATTGGTGCCTAGACCTAATGATCATTCCGTTATTGGCACAAAATGGGTGTTTCGTAACAAACTCGATGAAAATGGAGTAATCACTAGAAACAAAGCTAGGCTTGTAGCTAAAGGCTACAATCAAGTAGAAGGCATTGATTATGAAGAAACTTATGCACCGGTTGCACGTTTAGAAGCTATTCGTTTATTACTTGCATTTGCATCTACAATGGATTTTAAACTTTATCAAATGGATGTTAAAAGTGCCTTCCTTAATGGTATCATTCAAGAGGAAGTGTATGTCGAATAACCCCCGGGTTTTGAAGACTATGAGTTTCCCGAACATGTCTTCAAACTCAAAAAGGTGCTTTACTGTCTCAAACAAGCACCTCGTGCTTGGTATGAACGGTTAAGCAAATTTCTTTTGGACCATGAGTTCAAACGGGGTCAAGTCGACACTACTCTTTTCATCAAGAAAGATAACCAAGACATCCTTTTGGTTCAAGTTTACGTAGATGATATCATATTCGGTGCTACTAACAAAGTTTTGTGCAGGGATTTCTTCGATATGATGCAAAGCGAATTTGAAATGTCGATGATGGAAGAATTAAAATTCTTCCTTGGGCTGCAAATTAGACAATGCAAAGAAGGAACATTCGTGTTTCAAACGAAATATTGCAGGGAATTGCTTAAGAGATTCGATGTTACCGAATCCAAATCCATTGACACACTGATGAGCACCTCTTGCTATCTCGACAAGGACGAAAAAGGTAAAGAGGTAGATATCAAACGCTACCGAGGTATGATCGGCTCTTTACTTTACCTTACCGCGAGTAGACCGGATATCATGTACTCTGTTTGTATATGCGCTAGGTATCAATCATGTCCTAAAGAGTCGCACTTGGTTGCGATCAAAAGGATAATGCGATATCTCGCGGGCACGTTGAACATAGGTCTTTGGTATCCCAAAGGTTCGACATGTCATCTTGTTGGCTACTCCGACTCGGATTTTACAGGTTGCAAACTCGATAGGAAAAGTACCAGCGGTACTTGCCACTTATTCGGTCATTCGTTAATCTCGTGGTTTAGTAAGAAACAGGTTAGTGTTGGACTTTCCACCACCAAAGCGGAATATGTCGCTGCGGGAAGTTGTTGTGCCCAAATTCTTTGGCTAAAACAGCAATTAGTGGATTTCGGCCTTATACTTGATCACATCCATATTAGGTGTGACAATATGAGTGCTATTAGTCTAACGAAGAACCCCGTTCTTCACTCACGGACTAAACACATAGAAATTAGGCATCACTTCATACGAGATCATGTCCAAAAGGGAGATGTCACAATTGAGTTTGTTGAAACGAAACATCAATTGGCGGACATTTTCATGAAACCCCTTAGTAGGGAGAGCTTCTTCCACATTCGGAACGAACTTGGCATTTTTGATATCTCTATGAACTAATTCATTCTTTTTATTGATGATACTAATTTGAACGTCGGAGGCGCAATAATTCTTTTTTGTAGGGTATATTTTCAATGTTTCAGGGCATTTTTTGAAACTGGAACAGAGAGGATCGATCCCCACAATTTGATCAATCACTCAAGCCGAAGCTTTTCCAAGTAAAACTTCGGAGGATCGATCTATGCTATCGGATCGATCCACAAGGCCTTTCCTTTTCGCAGGGTTCTTTCGGCGGATCGATCCAAACAAATGGACCGATCACCTGGGCAAATTACTCAAATCTGAATTCAGCCCAACGTCAGTAGGACCGATCCAGTCTTGTGGATCGATCCATGGTCTTATCTGGTCCAGGTTCTGATTTGGCGGATCGATCCAAGCTTATGGATCGATCACCTGGACTTAAATGGCGCATGTACTCATTACGGAGGATCGATTACTTTATCTAGATCGATCACTTTAACTTAAGGTATATATAATCCCCAATTCATTTTTTTTATTTTTTTTCTCTCGTCTGGTCTCTGTTTCTCCTCGACGACGAACGCGAAGCCATCCCAGGTACGATTTCTTCGCCACTCTTCAATTTCTCTTCAATTCTCCAAAATTGCTTGTTAATTGTTGCGAATTGATGTTTATTGCTACTTAGTTGCTCGATTATATGAGTTTTTAAGTGCTTTTCTTCCTTTCTTAGGGTTTCTCGTTTCTCTCGTGCACCAACCCTAGCTACCATGTCGGATCGTCAAGGCAGTAAACGTTTGCGCTCAAAGTCTCATATTGGTGAATCAACAACCCAAGAGGAACGATTCGTCTCCTCGTTTGTCTTTCCGAAAGGTGATTCAAAATGCCTTTTCTATAGTGATTTTTTGAATCGTCCTATTTTAATGCCCAAATCCGTTCTACTTTCTGTATTTTGTTATCTTCCATTCAAAGATGCGACTATTTTCATTGATAGACTCGATGTTACTTCCTTTTTCGTGAGAATTTTTCTGTTTATTGTCCAAATCTCATTCGGTTGTTTTATACAAATCTCACTTTCAACGGACGGGTCCTCAAAACCTCCGTAAATGGCACCGACATTGAGATGACTCTCAAGGATATCGGTGAACTTTTCAAATTTTCTTTTGAGGGATGTGATTTCCACAAGTTCACATCTAAGGAATTCAAAACTTTTTCTTTTTACGACACCATTACCGAGGTGTGCCTTGAAGAAGCTCTTGGGCGTGAACGCCAAACCGTTCGAGGTCTTAAGCCTCATTTCCGAATTCTTCATTACTTCACTTCGAAAGTATTAGCTCCTCGTAAGTCGAGCCCTTCCAAAATACTTACTTCGGACACTCGTCTTCTCTTTGTGTTTTTGAACAATATTAAAATCAATTGGGCAAAATTCTTTTGCAATAACCTTCTTCTCATGAAGTCAAAAGGGTCTCTTGGGTATGTGTTCCCGATCATGAACATTTTGAGCACATTTAAGGTGCCTTTGATAAAAGACATCCACGTCAACCAGAACCACACGTGGTATATCGATGTCGCGACCTTCAACCGCTCTAATGTACCAAGGGCCGTGCAAGAAGAAGAAGGAGAAGAAGAAGGAGAAGAAGAAGAAGGAGAAGAAGAAGGAGAAGAAGAAGAAGGAGAAGAAGAGGGTGAAGAAGAACATGACCCGGAGGGCGAACCGGCGCATGTCCAAGAAGTCGCTCAAGTGGAATCGACTCGGTGTTCCTCTCCTACTCGAGTGTCACGCTCTACTTCATCGCGTCGCGCTGATCGTTCCATCCTTCAATGGATTTTAGACGCCGTGACTTGTACTCGCACGGATGTGGCGCACACTTGCATGGAGGTGACCATGCAAGGCCATCGTCTCTCACGGCTTGAGCAGCGGATGACGGAAATAGAGCGACGACCATATCTCGGACTGCGTCTCACTTACAGTGGTGGATCCCGCCCGTCGGGCTCACTTTGACTTCTCTCCCTATGTGATGACTTATCTATAATACATTGTTAAATGTTATTGTTTTTATGACTCTTTTGGTGGATGATGATATTACTTTGAATGATGCTAGTTATTGTTGTTAATTGATGATGTTAATTATGTTTGTGTATTGATATCATTGTTGGGTTGGCAATATTGTTCTTGTTTAGAACATATTGTCCCTTTGTTGCATTTTTTCTAGGAGTTCTCTTTTAAAGAAAACTCTTGCCATTTTTTACTATCCTTCAAAATCCCGGAATCAATTAAGGGGGAAGGTTATCGGTTGATAATGCCAAAAGGGGGAAGGAAGGATAGTTGAGAAAACTTGTTTTTCAAAAACGTTTTTCCGCTTATTACTCCGAAATTACTTTTTACTGCACTTCTCTAACCATGCAGGGGGAATCAATTTAAGAGAAGTATTTCTTGAACTCTTACTTTGCCTTTTCTCAACTATGTTTATCATTATCAAAAAGGGGGAAATTGTTGGACATGAGTTCAAACCCCTTTATTATTTTTCTAGAATATTTTTGTTTTGATGAATGACAAACAGGATGATTAAATTCAAACGATAATCAAAAATTTATTTTTCGTATCGAGAAAAGCAAAGAGGCGTATCAAGAAAGTTACGGCATTAAAAATCAACGCTCACCTCTACGCAGATTTTTGAAGCGAAGTGAAGACTCCGAAGACTTTTTATTTTTTATTGAGTCTAGGAATATTTGTAAGGATGACAATAATTTTTGCATAAACAAATTAATTTTTGAGGGATAAAAATTATTATTTTCTGAGTCAAATGAAAAAATTATTTTTTCTCTATCTAAAAATATTTTACTGAGTCAGTTTCAAAATAGTGTGTCAAAATTTCTTAAAATACTTTTTAAGAATACACAAACCTTTTATGGTAAGAAAAATACACTTTAAAGATTTTTCTTGTACATCGTTTGACACACAAAATATTTTTGGGACTCAATTTCTACACAAAAATTCATTATTTAATTCAAATTTTGAATTTGAATTAATTCTTTTCAACCCATGTGAATTGTTTGTTATTAGGAGCCTCCTTGACATCTTTTCTTGTCTAAAACAAAACATTAAGCTCCAATTGTTCTCCCCAACTCGCACACATGCTTTGGGTCCTCCTTGTTTGGCCCTTGTTCGTTAGGGAATCGATCATCCCTCTTGGATCGATCACCTGTGCAGAGTAATCCGAGACTGGATCAATCCAAGTTCATGGATCGATCATCCTATTTTTCCAAAATTGATCGTAGGATCGATCCTTGAGTGTGGATCGATCCCCCGAAGCTTTGACAGAAATTTATTTTCGATGGCTTACTCCAGATGATCGATCTTCGGCCCTGGATCGATCCCCAACGTCTTTTTTCTGTCAAAATCAGCCTTCCCTACTTCCAACGGATTTATTTCTTTTTCCTCTATAAAAACACTCCTCCTCCTTCATTAAAAATATATCTCTTGCACTCCAATATCTTCATTGATCAATATTCAATTCTTGCTTCCATCTTCCTCATCAAATATATTATTTTGAGAGTTAGAAATATTTTTATTGAGTGCTAAAGATTTTGTCATCCATAGAGCTTTCATATTTCAACACTTCTTGCTCAAATTGTGTGAGCTTTCATTCTTGTGTTGTAAACTCAATCCTATTTGATTTTGTTGAATAATAACATGGGAATTTCGTCCATGGTGTATGGCCAAGTTTGTTCCTAAATGACAAAACACTTACTGTTCAATCAATGACCATTTTACTGATTTCTGAGTTCAGAGTTGTGTGATAATTGATTATCGCCTACTGATAATCGATTAATAAGATATGTTTTCTAAACTCAGAATTTTCAGAGGTGTCAAATAGTCGATTAACTCTTCAGGAATAATCGATTAAAAAGGACTGGTTCATCAAACCGAATATTTTCAGAGATGAGTGTTAATCGATTATCATTTGGGAGATAATCGATTATGAAGCATTGCTGGACTATGTTAGGAGAATTCAGAGGGAAGTAATAGTCGATTATCTATGTTGGATAATCGATTATCATGTCTAAGAAAAACAAACAAAGGTTTTATTTTGCCTTTTGTTGTTCACCTTCGGCCTAGGCTTAGTAATGTTGAAACACGGGTTTATCAGATTTTCGTACTAAAGCCGTGTTCGTTTTTATGACAGGTTTTGATAATGCCAAACCACCGTGAACGAGAGAAGCAGGTTAATATACAAGGCGAGAAATAAATATAAGAAGAAAGCAAGAGAACAAGAGCTAAAAGAGACCAAGAACGAAGACCGTAGTCCTTAGCATCGTTGAGTCGGTCACAATGTGATCAAGACCGACCCAAGCTTTGCACTTTGGCTCTTTAGGCTAAAACATTTTTTATTCCATTTTACATATCATCAAAATTATTTTCAAACATGCTTAAACATATGAAAAACACTTGGTGTTGGCCCAAACCAAAAACCAAGCCATCTGGCGTTCGGCTTTAAGATACCGGCTTTCGGTTTTCAGAACCAGCGTTCGGCATTCGGTTATCGGCGTTGGTTTTTGGCGTCCGAACCAACCAAGTGGTTTTCAACTTTTTATGATTGGTTTTTACTTCCGGACACATTTAAATAGTTTTCCATCAAAAACACTTCAAAAACCAACTTTCATTTTTTGTCGTTTGATAAAACCATGCGAAACGGCATAAACTTGGCTAGCCGCGGTCTTCACTTAAATGAAGTGGTTTTTGAGTCTTGTTGTGTGGCAATTGTTTTTGAATGCATTTAAATGGTTCTCCAATAAAAACATCATGAAAACCACCTTTCGGTTTTGTCTTTTGGTAAAAACCACCTGTGTACGGTGTTGACTTGGTCAACCGTGGTTTTTACCTTAACGACGTGGTTTTCAATTTACAAATATTTTTTTGACATTACAGTACATTAAATAAGTATTTTAAATACTTAGTTTTTACTTTGGAGAACTTTGCATTTTTCGGTCGGGTTTTAGCGCCGGTCAGCTAGGCCATGGTTCTGGGCTAGTCATCTACCCACCGATGGTAGATATCACCCATCCATGGGTAAGTGATCCCGGGATTCCAGAATCATGCCACCCAGCGATGGGAGATATTACCCAGCGATGGGTAAGGAGCCTTCAGCCCAACTGATTTCCAAAACCATGCCAAACAGCGATGGGAAGTTTTACCCATCGATGGGAACCCAGCGATGGGAGGCCATACCCATCGCTGGTTAGGCATGACCGTTGTGAGTCATTTAAGGCTGATTCTTTCCTTATTAGAAAGTCAACCTCCCACCCATCGATGAGTAGGTGACCGTTGGCTTCAAAACTGAAGAAAAATTGGCTTACCAGCGATGGGTAAGTCCAAACATCGATGGGAAGCCAATATCCTGCAGATCTTTTTTTTTAATCAACCCCATAAATCAAGCAAATCACCCCTTTAATGCATTGGTCCGTTGGAGCCTATTTTGGCACTATAAAAAGGGGTGTTTGGGTCTACTTTACACATCAATTCACTACAAAAAATATGACTTTTTGTGGCTAAGTTTTAGTAGCAAAATAAATGTTTGCCACAATATATAAATAGTCCTCAATTATTTGTGGCAATTAAAAATTTGCCACAAAATATTAGACTTATTGTGGCAATTATTTAATATTGCTACTATATGCATATATCTAATTATTTAAACCCAAACTTAAGCCCAATTTGAGACCCATCAACAAAAATACTACGGAGTACACAAATACGAAGGACGAAATAATATGAGGAACAAACTGGGTCCTTTTTTTTATCAGGGCAATGCGGGAGGGCGGTTGGGGGGTGCAGTTTCACGGCCACGAGACAACGCTCAGACTTAGATCTTGAACCCTAGCAACCGGCCAACTCTCCGATAGTGCTAAGGAAGGGCAACCACGATGTTAAAGAGGAGCAGCGGCCGACTCTGGTTTCTGGAAGCGATGCAGCGAGCTAGACGGAGTACAACGAATTCCTTTGGCGATTGAACGGCAAATTCAGCACCAAATCAAATCAATTCTAGTTTCCAGCGGTTAGTTTTTGACATAAGCTTCAAATCCATGTTGTTCTTCAATAATTCCATTATAGTTTAGGCTCGATTTTATTTATACTGTTGATTTCAGTATCATTGTGTGCATCGTTACTGTTTGGACATATTTAAATTAAGTTATGACTTAGTTATATACGGCTATGTTAGAATTTGGATTGAATTTGAATATTCTCAAAAATAGATCTAAATTTGGCTTTTAATTATAATTAAAAGATGGTTTGATTCTATATTCAATCCACATGTGTCATGTTTTTTGTGTTGAATCAAGTAGTTTTACATTCCTAGGTGATTGGACAATAGGGAAAAAATGTCTCATAGCCCACTAGATTAGGATACAAGGAAGAAAATGCTGATTCTGCTCTGGTAACCTACAATCAAATAATATTTTGCTAGATTGTATACCATTAAGTTGGGTTCTTGTTAGGAAAAGCCTAAGATAGCTTATAAAAAATATGAAACAGAATATGGGTGGAGTGTTTTATTTTTTGTGCAATGCTTTGGTTTAATTTTACTATCATGGAATTTGGGGTGGGCACTCTTACAATGAGCTTTATAACTAACTTTGGAGATTTATAACTTCAATTTTGGATATCACCATATTTCTCAATAAATAATTTCTTACTTCTATGATGTGGTTATGAATGTTTTGTAATCTGGAAAGTTTCTCAACCTATTGATGGGAGTTCATCATCCATCTTAAAGGTTTTCAAATTTTCAAAACATTGTCTTGATTGATTTTCATGGTTGGTTAATTGGTTGTTATTAATTATTTGTGTTATTGTCAAAGAGTTATTCTTTTGTCAAGGGTGCACTACCTTGGCAACCTACAGATTCTAATGTCTTTCAAGGTAGAGAAATCAGAACACATGAGCCAAGTAATCTGACTCAGCCACGTTCCTCGAAGAGATGCAGATCAGAAGAGGCTCATCATTTGTCTGAAAAGGTTTAATTTTTCTTAAATTTCTATTTTGTTTTTG